CACATAGTCAACTAGCACACAACATATCACAGAATATCTAGCATACTACATATCACATAATAGCTAGCATACCACATAACACATATAACTAATTGCCATGGGAACCCCCACATGGTCTTAGTCTACTGCCTCGGGAACCCCCTGAGGTCTTCCATGCAAACATCACACTAACAAAACACATAATCAGCTAGCGTATCACATAACATAAAATGGGACGGCCTTGGTGCCTTAGACCCATTGGTATGGTGAGGAGACTCACCTCGCACTGAAGAAATCCCGTAGTCGAAACTCCAGCTGTTGGACTAACATGGTAAGACCCAGTAAGTTCTGACATACTACTCCAACTCAACTGCCTGCAATCATCAGGTGCTTAACCTGTCACGACCTTGAAATACCACAACCGCCCTCCAGATCAACCCTGGTCGACCCTAGTCTGATTCAAGGTCCACAATCAAGGTCAACAGTCCATGTTGACCTCAACTCGTCGAGTACAACCAGCCACTCGTCGAGTTCCTTGCTTATCTTGCCAACTCGTCGAGCCACTTGAGTAACTCGTCGAGTTACTTGATGCTCATGGCCGTAAACACCCAACAGAAAACCCATGACCGTGAACCCTTGGTCACGAACACTTAACCGTGAATGAGAAAACCCTCTCGACTCGCCAAGTCACTTGCACGACTCGTCGAGTTCCCTTAGTTCATCATGTTTATGGCCCTTTTCCAGTGGGACTCAAGGTCCCAAACTTCAGATCTAACCTCTACTAGTGTAGATAACACGTAATGTTGCAAACTTTACGTGCATGCAAGGCCTCACATGGCCCTAATTACCAAAACTAACCCTCAAATAAGGTTTCCATGCATAAAAAGGGAATAATATTAATAAAAGGTGCAACTTTATGATATTTGGGACCTAAGAAGGTCCAGATCTGGAACCTTATCCTTGTGATTGGTCCAGATCTAAGCTTGCTTACATGCCCCTCGAGAATGGCCATAATCTTCCTCAAGAACTCTAAGGTTCTAAGGCTGAAAGTAACAGATTAGTACCTCAATCTGTTCCCCAACACGAAATAGATGCTCAATCTAGTGCTTCTCCCTCGTTACTTCCTCCTAAGGCTTGGAAATCTCCCTAAAATCCCAAGGATAAGCTCCCAAATACTCCCACTTCACACTCCAGCGAGTTTGCGGCCGTAAACGGTCTTTTATGGTGTTAAGGGAGGCCACAAGGGTTTATAATGATGTTTATATAGGGAGCAAACTTCAAAATTAGGGTTTTCATTAAACAGCTCAGACTCGCCGAGTCGAGCCTTCCGACTCGCCGAGTCCATGCACAAAACCCTTATAAATTATAAATGACCTCAAAAACAGGGAACATGTGTTACAAATGGAATGGTTAATTCCATTAGAACGAAAATCGATTGTTTTGTATGATGAAATGGAATGGTTGAAGGAATGTATGATGAAAGACTCATCAGGTTATCATTGGTACATACATATTGCAATGAAGATCTTGTTTGTATTGGCTTTGTGTTGATATATATATTTTTTAGAACTTTAAATGTATTGAAATGATACCTGATCATATGTATTATCTTTAAATTTGTAGGTGCTGCTCATGGAACCCGTAAAGTTACAACTTCACATTGGAAAAGATATCAGTTTACACAGAGGTATATTTTTCATCAAGCATTCTTAATTTTTATATGAAATTACTTATTTGCCGTTATTGTTGTGTATATCTCTAAATGAGGTTACATTAAATTGACCAAGTTTGGATTGCTTGGGGAGAAGCTATCAATTTACACAAAGGTAATGTCATGTATCATTTAGCTAGTACTCGTATCTTCGTACTCTAACCTTAATGGGGTTACCCTTAATCCTATTTCCATTAAATAAAAAATATGTTACATATTCTTTTATTAATTGTGTTGTTGATTTGTACTTCACATATGATATTTGAATCGCCTAGTGGAAACGAGTCGATTGCACTAAACCTTGTTTCAATGGGGAAAAGTGAAGTGTGGATCAATGGCTAAAGTATTGGAAGATATTGGGTCTCATTTAAGACCCCTACAGGCTCTCCTTCACGTCCTTCATAGAACCTGCATTTATCAGTGACTTGTGATTTTTATAGCTAGCAATTTTGATTTGTGACATCGGGTTTATGTTTGACTGTTTGATTATATTTTTTTATAGTTAGCAATTGTGATTTGTGACATTGGGTTTATGTTTGACAGGTACAAGTACCCCGATCTTTCCTTAAACCAATAGAAAACCTACTGGTTTTGTTCGAGGAAGAATATGGAAACCCACTAAACTTTTCATTAGATATTGTTTCGATTATCAACTATAGTTTGTTTTGTATGAACAACTAAAAATTTTCAAATCACGTTGTTTGTTTTTAGTAAACCGATCGTGTAATATATTTTAAAGCTTTTGGATTGTATATATATTTGAAATGTTTTATATTTTAATTTTCTTTTTTTTGTTTTATTGTATATAAAACTTTTATTGTAAATAAAAATCCTGGGAAATTAAACAAATCACAGGGGCATGGCTAAAATCTGTAAAATTTGTGCAGAACCTGTAGGGACGACTTATCGTCTCTATTGGGAGATGTATAGCAACAAGAAGTCGTCACAATAGGTTTACCTACGGCGATAACAAGTCGTCGCTATAGGGTTGGCTATGGCGACGACAATAGGATTTAAAGCGGCAGACCTATGGCGACGAGGCTTGAGGTGATGACATGTTGTCTCCAGGATTTATAGTGATGACTTTGCAGCCTATGGCGAAGACTTTTTTCGTCCCTATAGGTCTTTAATCTTGTAGTGTCGGTCGGGATGACTCAGACGTTCGCTGATGTGACAGAGGCGTCTGCGTTGACGGTTTCATCATTGTAATTGTTTGAACGTCCCGAATTTTATTTAAGACTTCCCTTATCAAGGATGATTTCCTTTTCTTCGCTCTACTGCTTGTTCATTTTTTTCTCGTCTTCACTCTGTTTATTCCTTCTTTCTTGTTTATTGACATCCGTGACGGCACCAGCTATTAGAATCGATTTGATGCCTCCCGAGTTTGAAGGCTCGCGGGCTCGATTTGGTTTTCTTCCTAAGCATGGTGTGCAGTATCCTCAAAATGGGGCATTTATTTCTCGGCCGCCAGAAGGCAAGGTCGGAGTCCCAGTCCCAATATTTGAGGCGAGTCTCCGGCTGCCAACGACCGACTTTTTCGATGAGGTCATGAACCAATATGGCTTCTCTATTGAAAATCTAACTCCTAATTTTGTCAACAAAATAGTTGGTTTCAAGATGGCCTGTCGAGCTTTGGGCATGCTTCCTCAATTTTGGGCCTTGAAGTACTACTTCAACTCCTCTACCTAGTCCAGCATTCATACGTTCTCTTAGAGGCGGGGGTGTCCATGCGTTCATCGTAAACCAGAATACCCTCAAGAAGAATTGGCAGGACAAATGGCTAAGGGTGAACCGCAACTTGGTTGATTTTGGCTATCATCGCCGAAAAACTTTCTCCAATCGGATGCCTCGACTCTGGGGTGCTAGCGAGACCGTGGCGAACGCGTTGAAAATCATTTCTTTCAATGGGGAGATTTATATGACGCCTGCAGTTGGAATGAACGCTTCCTGGAGAGCATGTGGGATGATGTCTCAGTTCTTCGTGGAGAGAATAGTGAGTGTGCATCTCTTTCCTCCCCCCCCCCCTTTGTACATAAATCTCGACGGGGTGAATTTGGGGCTTTGTTGATCCCCTTATGTATATGATTTGCTTTTTGTTGCAGGTTGCGAGAGGATCATTCCTTTTTGAGATAGTCCTGCGAGGTAGGTTCCAGGGCAGTTGCCAGTACTGGGAAGTTCATGTGTTGGAGACGCTTCCTCCACTGGTCAAAGCTGATTGTGCACTGGCATTTGCTAGTTCTACCATTGCTATGGTGTCAGGATCCGGTCCTCAACCTGACCAGACGTTGTTTAACACCACTGTAGAGGGGGTTTCTCGCGGTGATCCTCCGCCTCCTGATTTCAAGGATGATTCGGCGAAGGAGGTGGCAACTAGAGGGAGTCGACTAGATACCAAGCGGTGAATAGCCTAGCTGGACTCCCCATTTACTGAAGGCTCTAGCATCAACATTGTTGGAAGGCGTCTTCTAATGTGGACTTTCTGTTAGGGGAGTCCGACGTTGTAGTGGACATTCCCAATGATGACGCTGCAAACCTGTTAGAAGGAATAAATAAGGAGGGGACTAAACTGCCTCGTGAATCAAAGGAAGAGCCAATAGATGCTATCGGCCCCGGTGAAGGCGCAACAAGTAAGGAGCTTGAGGTTGAGTTTCAACCTACCTCTGATTTTTCTTCGCCTCTTGCGAAGGATAATATTATTGTAGGTTCTTCTTCTTCGCCCCTGGCAGCCCCTAGAGTTTACATACCTGAGTGGGGGATCACTCGAGAGTCCTTTCTTACGCAACATCATGTTGCGTACGAGTAGGGTCGTCATGTTTTCCCTCCGTCCGTCATGCTTTCCTCCCGGCATGCTTTCCCTCCGGCCACAATCGAATATCATTCGAGGAGCGTTATGACCTCTTGGTCGGGTAGAGGCGTCCGTGTACGAGCAGGTGGCAAAGTTGGATGGGTCGGTGTAGCTCTTTTCCCAACAGATTGAAACCTTGGTGGAGGAGAAGAAGGTGTTAGATATCCGATTGGAGGAACAACGTGGGCAGCTGGAGGTGGAGGTTATGAGGAGGAAGGCTGCAGAGGAGGATGTGATGTGGTTCCTTCAAAAGGGTGTTGTCCGGGTGGTGAATAAGATGGTGAAGAGTGCTTCTTTCTCCCTTGGTGTTAGGCAAATGAACATGGCGTGCATGGATTTCGGCGTGGAGGGGGCAAGCAAGTAGTCCGTGAGCAGGTTCTCGATAGGAAGTTTGTCTTCAGGGAACCGAGCGTCGTTGTGGAGCATACGCAGACAATACATGTTTCTGTAAAATGTTTTATGGAGATGGACTTTTCCTCCTATCTTTGCCTTGTTGAGCTAGACATGGAAGGCCTTCGCCAATTGTGTTGTGATCCCGATGCTGAAGGGGACCATCTCAAAGGTGATTCCTCCGAGACCGGGCTCTCCTCCAACCCTGCTGGTAAGTGATCTTTTTCCTCATCTTTGGCTATTGGGTGTGTAAGATGACATTTGAATTTGTTTAATGTTCGTAGAACGATGTCTATAAATATTTCTAAATTTCTTGCTTGGCCGTGCACGACCTTTTTGCTTGAGCCTGAGGTCTATCCGGTGGATTATATTTTTTTTTATTGATTGTAATTATGTTATGGTTGTTGTTGTATTAAAGCTTCTTTGCTTCTAGTCCCAGGTAGTTTATGTTGGCTATTCTGGGTTCGAATTCTTCATAAAGGTTAG